CTAAAATTGTTAGTTTTTAAGATATAGCAACATTTCTGAAAAAACTTAATTTTTATTATTTTATAGAATACCACAAATAAATATTAACTAATAAAATTAACTTAAAATGGAATGATAAATTATGAACTGACAAGTTGACACAATGTGACAGTTTTTTCCAAAGCCATTTCGTGCGACTGAAAATAATAAAAATTAGGTTTTTCCAGAAATGTTGCTATATCTTAAAAACTAACAACTTTAGGTGTAGAACATACTTAATAAAAGTTGAAGTGGACTGATATGTTAATAAAATAGAACAAAAAAATACAGGGTGTTCCATTTGAAAAATTTTAGAAAATCAAGTTTGAACTTTCCTAAAATAATCGTATTATAAAAAATGCCCTGTATAAAATATCGATATTAGCTAATACAAGAGTCTTTGCCTAACATTTGTCTATACCTCTGTCAAATATTTTTGCTCCAAGTGTTAGTAGTTGAAAGTTAATACAACTTCTTCGAGGTCATGTTTTTTTCCAAAATTCGAAGAATTTTCTACATAACTTGGCAACCTCGCACTAAAATGTTAAACTGTCTATATTGCCATATGAATTTTCTCAGCAATCCATATGTTTAAAAATAGACAGGGTGTTCTATTTAAAAAATGTAATATTTGGCATGTCCCGTTTTTACTCATATACAGTATAGTGTTTCAAATTAATTTTGTTCTTTAGGTTTTTTTGATTCTGTACAACTTTTATATAAACATTCTTTCTGTATTATGAATAACAAGAGTATTTTACTTTATCACACTAATGGCCCACCCTCTATAAATATACCATCCTTGATTTAAGAATTTCTTTTTTTGCGTCAACTTTTGACTCATTAAGGAACTTTTCACTTTGTTGGCTATTTTTTGTTTTCAAAATTAATATTCAAAACACAGTTGGTAATCTGCACAGTGAATGTGATTAGCTGAAGCTTCTTAAAATGCATTTATATAAAATACATTTTTTTATAAAACATAATTTTTCTTCGCTTTTCTACATTTGTAAAATGAAAATTGAAAAGTGAAAAGTTGAAAAGTACTTTCAAAAAATAGGCCCTATGAACTTAATTCGGCATCGTGGCGAAGAACTGGACATTTCGAGAATCTCTACAGCGTATTCTCACAGAAGATTTGCATGTTCATGCTTACGAAAAAAGTTAGTTGAATGGATTATCTTCAGCGATGAGGTTCATTTTCATCTGAAGAGATTCTTAAACACTC